GGGAGAGAAGAGACTATTCCACAAAAGGTTGAAGTACTCTGACGACATTTGTCAAACACAATGTGCATTTGCCAAAATGGCATACTTTAATCCCTTTTCTCTGCATCAAACAAAGCAATGGTGGATTACTGTATTTCCGTGCACATATTTATTTAAAGGGCAACATACAACACTGTGTTTAATCTTACAAAGACTATTGAGTAAAAGATGCAAAAGAATATATATATACTATGAGTCTACTCATAGAAGGTACAAAACCAGGCAAATGTTAATTTTTTTTATTTTGGATGGGTATATAAAGTGGTAAAATCATGAAGAATAGCAAGGAAATGATCATCATAAAGGGCAGGGTAGTGTTATCACCAAGGTGGAGGAGGTGGAGTGGGAAGAAGCAGGGAGTTATGATCCAGAAAGGACACACAAGGAATTTCTGGGGTTGCTAGTCGTGGAAGTTCATTTTATACTAATTTGTTCAACTGTGTATTTGTTTTATGCACTTATTATATCTCACACTAAAAACATGGCTCTATGCAGAAACAATATTATTTCTATAGATCAGAAGTAGAACAGAAAACCATAATAATAATTATAAATGGAACTTCCAGATCTAGAAATAAGTAGAGACAACTGAGAATTTGACCTCCCTGGTAGTTCTTTCTTGGACTTCTTTGCTGATTTCTCCTCTTTGACATTGATCCTCTTCTTTTTTCTGGTTACTTACTCACTCTGTTGATCTCAAACAGTCTCATGATTTTACATACCATCTATATGCTAGTAACTCCCAAACTTACATCTCTGCTTCTTCTAAGTTAATTCTAGACTCATATATATTCAACTACCTTTTCAACAGCTCCACTTGGATGTTTAATAGGTATCTCAAATTTAACATGTCAAAACTGAATTCATGAACAAAATTGAACTCAAGGCTGTTCTACCCTTTGCCTTCCCCATCTCAGTTGAGAGCAATCATATCTGTCTTGCTCAGGTCAAAAGCCTTGAAGCCATCCAAGACTCTTTCTTTTACATCTTCCATCTAATCCATCGGGAATTCCTGTTTACTTTACCTTTAGAATATAGCCAGAATGCAACCCCTTCTCGCCACATCCATTGCTACTACCCTGATCGAAGCCCACTATCATTTCTTGCTTTGATTTACCACAGAAACCTCCTAACAGATCTTCTTGCCCTTATCCATGCTCCCCTCCCCCTGATCAATTCTCAGTAGAGTAGCTGGTAATACAGGTGTCTCCTGCATTTTGCAAGTTCATGTTACACCACTTGGCTTTTATGAAAGACCTACATTAGTACTTGTTTTCACTAACTGGAAGAAATCTGAAGACTTCTGCTTTTACAAAAAAGAGTGAAAAGTGACAATAACGTTCTGAGCTTGTTTTGCAGTGAGCTTTTAGAAGCAGTGCACATCCTCCAGCAGTGAGAGTGGTGCTGTTCCTTCCCTGAGAACTGCATTCAGCCTCTCAGCATCAAGCCACCATAACTTTGAACTGTGTCTGTGAGCATCTGTGCTTTATCTCCATTTAATCTCCATAATGTATGGTGATTAACATAACAATAAAAAAATTAAAAAAAAAAGATGTGTCCTAAGGTATCAGAAAAAAAGCCTAGGAGAAGTTATTTTTTGACTTTAGGAACACTAAAGATTTTTGCCACGTAAATTAATGGCAATTGCTTCTTTGCTTTATGCCATTTTGGCTTATGAAAATTTTCATAGGAACTGTGTACTTTGAGAATGCTGGGAAAAGCTGTACTTGTAAAACATAGGTAGGATCACAGTACTCCTTTGTTTAAGACATATCTCTGGTTCCATGGTTTACATACAGGAAGAGCCAGAGTGCTTTTTATAATGCCCGGTATGATTGTGCCACGCTTCCTCTTTGACCTCATTTCTTCTCTCTTCCTCAGTATACTCCAACCACACTAGCCTCTTTGCTGTTCCTTGAATATACTAGGCCTGCTTCCTACCTTTGAGTGTTTGCACTGGCTGCTTCCTTGCCTGAAACACTCCCCACCCTGCCCCGTAGTCACCTAGCTGGCAGCTTGATTTAAAATTGCAACTCGCATTTCAGTCCTCCTTTCCCACTCTACTTTTCTTTTTTCCATAACAATTCTTACAGATTCTTAATAATTCTAACAAACTATGTGAATTACTTATTATGTCTATTATTTATTATCTGTATAACACCCTAAACTATACGTTCTGGGAGGGCAGAAATATTTATCTAAGCTTGCTTACTTATATATCCCAAATGCTTCAAGTAATGCCTGGCATATAGTTAGCATTCACTTATTTTTTGAATGAATTTATACAAGATAATGAACCAAAAGCACTCCATCTTGGCAGGGCCCGGAGTCAGCCTCCTGGTCTGAACTAGAGTATAGGCGGGCACTAACCCTCCTGTGAAAAAGGCTAGAAAAAGTGGCCACTGATGCCTGCAGCTCTGGCTTGTATAAAACTGCATTTCTGTTTTCTTGTCATGGCTAGAGAAAATGCTGCCCATATGCTCAGTAATATTGAGGGTTTAACAGAATATGAGTTCTGAGCAGCTGATGTGAGATTGGGTTCTGGACTTGGAATCCTTGGTTAGGGAGCTGGATATGGGAGTAGATGGAGGCAAGCCAAAAAAGCCCCGGGGTCAAAGCTGGGAGAGGGCTAACTGTGTGAGAACTGAGAGCAAAACGTGAGATGGCTGAGCTGAGGAGAGCTGTGGAGGCTTAAAGCTTTGGGAGGTGGCGGGGAGAAAGGGAGGGATGCAGTGATTAGCAGTACAGGAAATGTGCTGGGACGGTGAGTGTTAAAGGGAAATTAAAGAATTTATCTCCTCTGTTTGTAAGTATTTGTAAGTGTTATAGACCTCCTCTGTTTTTTCTGTGAAATCTTAGATAAAATTTGGATTGCTTTGATGTAAGTGAATTCTTCCCAGAGAATGGGAAGACATTGTGTATCCTGAGTCATAGTTGGCACAGGGTAAGAATAGACTGCATGTGGGGATATTTGACATCTGGATTACATGTAATTAGGAGGAAGTGATAGGACTTAGTGATGGATTGGGATAACGGACAGGAATTTGGCAATGAGATCATTGGTGACCTTGGAAAGAGCAGTCTCTGTGGAATGGTAGGTACAGAAGCCAGAACAGAGTGAGCTGGAGTGTGAGAAAGACAGCCCATACAGACTATTTGTTCAAGAAACTCAACTGACCGGAAGATAATTTAGGGTTAAGGGATTATTTTTTCAACGTGGTGTTACTAGAACTTGTCTGTATGCTGATGAGAAGGAATCATAAGAGGGGTTGGAGAAAAGAAAGGAGAGAAGGGGGTGTAGATACAGGTAGATTCATAGTTTTTGCGGTAGGTATAGTGGCATTGTTTATGGGGCAGCTACTGCTTTGACAATGCTGTAAAACACACCAGTGTTAGTAAAGTGTAGATTATTAGTGTCTTCTTTAAGGATACAAGGCCAGAGCTTCGTAGGTAATTTTTGACCTTGCAAGGGAGCCAAGACCCTCCACTGTAATTTGAGAGTTGTAGAATTTGAAGCTGTTTAGATGCGGGCACTCCAATAAGTTCACAGTACTATTTGAGATATGTATGATAAAATTTCATCCATATGGAGCAGCATAAGGTTCTTGTCTCCTCCATGAAGCCTCTGTAAAGCAGTAAATAACTAATTCACCCTAACTTGATTGCTTCTACCATGACATGAAACAGAACGTTATTGGAGTTCAGAAATCAATTTCACCTGTGTTCTAAAACCTACAGAGCAGGCTTCATGTTTTATTAATCTCTTTATTACCAGTTATACTTTCTGTACAGTGGATTCTCAGTAATCATTTGTTGAAATTAATCAATGCTAGATAGTTTTGAGGAATTATCCCATAAGCAGCAAAACTTTTAAAATTGTAAACATTCAGGATAGCAATTCTCTAGACGTTTATGCATCATTCTTGACTTTCTAATATAAATTGAACAAAGTTTAACCCTCTGAAGATTTTGGGGAATCAGGGTTCAGATGCTAAAGTCTACAAATAACCTCAGAGCTCATCAAAATGTATAGGACTACTTATCCTAATGTTGAATGGCTTAGCCTACTGGGCATTTGTTTTGTGAAGTTTTAGTTTTTCATTTTATTCTGCATCTGATTTTAGCTGCTATTTTTCCCCCCTTTATTTCCTGCTGCTGCTTTTCATTTTAAAGATCTTTTTTATTTTTAAGTAATCTATACCTAATGTGCAGCAACCCAAGATCAAGAGTCCTATGTTCTACTGACTGAGCCAGCCAGACGCCCCTCGTTTTCTGCTTCTGATCAGATTAATCTATTGATGAATCTGTTTGGAAAATTACATATTTTAGAATTGATAGACTAAATAGACTCTAAAGGACTCTTCTGGGAATAAGGCTATGCACACTGGTGTATGGACTTCTCCATTCTATTCATTCACTTCTTTAGCACCTTTTGGGGGTCAGCAATGTAATAAGTGCAAACGCATAACTTTATCCTGGTCTTCAAAGAGTTCAGGGTTAATCTCTCTTAACAACTCAGGCCTTTTGTGGTGATTCTCAGCTATATTTCAAGTAATAGTTCTTTTTCTTTTATTTTAAGGTTTGAATGATGTATTTTGCATATAAGTAATAAGGGTAGGAGGTAAATAGGAGTTGTTTTAGGCATCTTAATTCAGTCTTATATGGAATTTTAACTGGAATTTTTTTTTTTAAGATTTTATTTATTTATTTGACAGAGCGCGAGAGCAGCAACACAAGCAGGGGGAGTGGGAGAGGGAGAAGCAGGCTTCCCGCTGAGCAGGGAGCCCAATGCGGGGCTCCATCCCAGGACCCTGAGATCATGACCTGAGCCGAAGGCAGACGCTTAACAACTGAGCCACCCAGGCGCCCTTTAACTGTAATTTTAAGATTTGTTTTAAGACCAAGGTTATAAAAAAAATAAAGATAATAAAGAGTATGTCTTTCCTTTTTCTCCCCTATAGGAAATACAGATGAAGAGGACTGCAATTGAAGCTTTTAATGAAACAATTAAAATATTTGAAGAGCAGTGTCACACACAAGAACAACATAGCAAAGAATATATTGAGCGGTTTCGCAGAGAGGGGAATGAAAAGGAAATTGAACGGTAAATCTGCCTAACCCTTCCAAGTGCTTCAGTGAGACGAGACTTCTTTTATTCCCCAATAATCTCTCTTGTGTTTGCTTTTACCCCCTTAAACGTCATATATGGAACTATTTGCTGTTCTGACTAATGGCATCACACTGAACCTTCCCTTTTCTGTGTTCCTTCTACATCCTTCCAAATTTTTAACTCCTGCTCATCCTTTAGGATTCAGCTTATGCATGACTTTTCTAAGAAAAATTTCCCTGATTACCTAGACAGGTTTAGAAGCTTTTTATCCCTACAAAAAGCTTTTCGTATCTGGTCCTGATTCCTACTGTAACATTTACCAAAGATCACAACCACTAAACTGTAAGCTTGTTAGTGGAATAAGGATGGTGGCTTATTTTTCCTAATAGCTCTAGCAACTGTTGTGGTCCCTGAGAGTACATGGTGATGCTCACTGAATTTTTGTTTGAACTGAAAACCAACAGCAGCACTCTGAGAATAAATTGGAGGCTGAGAAAAACCATGGGCAGGAAGACCAGCTTGACTGTTGCAGGTGATGGCAGCGTTTGTGGTCATCAGGTTAAATGATGGTGAGGGCTTGGACCAGAGCAATGGCAGGAAAGGAGGGGGAATTAATGGAAATGCTGAGGACTTGATACCTGACTGGATATGATAGGTGTGGGAGAAGTCAAAGAGTATTCCTAGATTTCTGATATGAATGAATAAGGAATGATGTTACTCACAATAGGACGTGCATGAGCTAAGTTCAGGGTTGGAACCAATGAGTTTGAGGTTCCTGTGAGAAAACAAATGGAGTTGTCTGAGAGGCAGACAGCTGGTTATCTGGTTTTGGAATTCAAGGTACAGAAAGGATTTGGAAGGCATAAGTGTATACGTGATAGTAGATGCTACGAAGATTATAGAGAGTGAGCAGCATGAGAAATACTGGGTCTGGCAACTAAAATGATATTGGAAGTCTTTATCATAGCAAATTTAGTGGAATGTTGGGATACTGAGCCAGATAACAGTGGGCTGAGGAATGAAAAATTGGATAATAAATAAAAATGAATCATCTGCAAGGGAAAAGCAAAATTATTTCTCATATTAGCACCAAAGTATCAGTGAACTTCTGTGTGCATAAGAATAGGGCTAAGAGCTGTTGCGGCAGTATAGCTTAATGGTTAAAACCATGGGCTTGAATTCTGTATTGATCATTTACTAGCTGTGTGACCTTGGGTAAGTTACTTAACTCTCTGAGCCTGTTTCCTCCTCTATAAACTGTAGATAATGTCTTTTTAAAATGCTGTGAGAATCAGGTGATAGATACACACATGCCTATTTATGGTACAGAAAGTCATGTGTGTGTATGTATGAATGTATCTTGGCATATGATATCAATAAATAGCTATTATTATTATTAACAATTAAGGGATATAAAAGAACCTGTTAGTTTTGTTGCAAAGGAAGATAAAGTAGCTGATGATGAAGTTTTAATAGTAATATAAAACGTATTTTTTGAGTGACAAATGAGTGATGTGGACAGTTATTGCCTTCAGAGCACAGCAAAAGTTTGCATGCTGGAAAGCTTATAGTCATTATCTGCTGAGTGCTTGCCAAGATGTACCAAGCACTGTTTAGTCCTTTTACATGTATTATCACATTTAATTCACATAATAACTTAGTGAAGTAGGTACTATTTTAGCTACCCATTTTAAACAGATGAGGAAATGAAGGCACAGAGAAGCTGAATAACTTGCCCATGGCCATGCAGTAAGTGGCAGGGCAGAGATTCAGACTTAGGCAGGCTGACTGCCAAGCTCTGCTCTTAACTGTTGTATGGTGCTACCTCTTAAAGATCATCCATACAGCTTTACTTGTTCATTCATGTCTGGATCCAGGGCCCAAACAAGGTGATCAGGATTTTCTCTCATACTCTGTCTTTGCCTTATTTTTTCTCTGTGTTGGCTTCATCCTCAGGCAGGCTTTCCCTGTGGGGTAGCAGTATAGCTGCTGGGAGTCCTAGAATCACATATTTATAATTTAGCAATCTCAGTGAGAAGAGAGAACCTCTGTTTACAATAGTTCTAGCAAACCAGAATTGATTTTCATTGGGTCAGTAAGGGTATTATTCCCATTCCTGAATCAGTCACTGTGGCCTGAGGGTAGCGATAGGATATAATGGAATACTCTTAATGTCTGGGCTGGGTTGTGTGAATATTCACCTGTGACTCTGAGATGGGGGCAGGGAGCCCTTTCCTACGGGGAACATCAAGGTGCCATTACCAAAAGAATGAGAATGGATACGGGCTAGGCAAAAATAACAGATGTCTACCACACTTAAGATATTAGGACTATGCTCACATTATAGAATGTTTCTGCTTGGTTCCTGTTTTAGCCTTAATATGTCAATATTTTCACAGAATTATGATGAATTATGACAAATTGAAATCACGTCTGGGTGAGATTCATGATAGCAAAATGCGTCTAGAGCAGGATTTGAAGAAACAAGCTTTGGACAACCGGGAAATAGATAAAAAAATGAACAGTATCAAACCTGACCTGATCCAGCTGCGCAAGATCCGAGATCAGCACCTTGTGTGAGTAGTCTGGGCCAGTATGGGAGGAAATACCAGCACCAGATTACTGCTGGCACTAGACTCGTTAGAGATAGAAGAGATTTGTAACTGAGAACTGGCCAGTGAGATTTTAAGAATTTAGGAAGGCAATCCTGGTAGTATTTGGTGGTACCCGAGTTTACCTAAAGTCAACATGTGGGGCAAACCAGAATGTAGCATTCTAGATTCTAGTCCATACAAATGGGAAATCTCAGAGGTTGGGTGTGGCACGAGCAATGTGGTGTAGCTTAAAAAGGACAGGTTAATATTTGCCTAAATACGAAAACCAGAATCTTTGGTTACATAGTAGAACCACAGAAATAGAAATTACCCCTCATGAGCACAGACAATAACACTGATAGTGGGGGCCTACAAATAAGTATACAGGATAGTCTCCTAAAGGGTTTTTATATATAAGAAATGAAATTCTCTATTCAAGTAATAGAAATGTGCCAATAGGAGGCATGCAAGGTAATTTGACCTGAGGAATGAAACTCAACTCTTTAGTATTATAGAAAACTGAATGATTTAGATAGATATAGGGATATTACTCAAATATAGATTGAAAGTTATATTATCAGAACAAGATGATAGATTTTTAGGACAAATGACTGTCTTATAGGAGAGAACCCATGAGAAACAAAAATATGTTTTGTTCTAGGTAATGAATAGACTGCTACAAAATATGTTTATAGGTGACTTTCATGCATGGAACACAACTTGATTCAAACTCTTGGTAGAACACAAAATAAAGACCTCTGACTGGATTTTCCATAGACTTCAGGGTTTCTTTGTATGAGAAAGGGAGAGGGGAGAAAATAAAAGCTTAAGAGGTGGGGACAGTGGCTATTGAGTAGAGTAAAATTTAAGGTGATAAGTTTTGGGGGGAAACAATTAGAACTATGCTTAGCTGAGTAGTTTTTAATAACTCCTTTCTAGAGATCATTTGTTTGCTATTGTGGACAAAAAATAAAAGTCAAGCAAGTACACAAAGCATATAGAAGAGCCTTGGAAACAAGGCAAGGAGGTACCTTGTCTAAAATCAGGGTGTGTTTGCTCTCAGAAAGCTTATGTGATTCTGGTCATATAATGAAGCTGAAGAAAGGCCCAAGAAGAAGGCTTATACCACAGACCAAAGGAATGAATGGAAGCCCTTGTTTGCTCTGGAAAGTGATGAGATTATTAAAAAATACACCATCCCAAGAGGCATGAATAAGTGTGGCAAACTAGACCTTGAAAGTTCCTTTAACAAATTATGTAAACTAAATATAAAAGAGAGTTTAGATAACATCATGGGTGATAAATCATGATCTGCTAGTAAAGATAACTAGGGTGTTTAGGGAGATATTTATTGAGTATCTGCTATATGCTGGCACTGCTTTCAGCATTGGGAATAGCCATGAACAATAGGACAGACCCCTTTCTTACATTTTAGTGGGGGAGACAAACATAAGTGAAAATATAAAATAATGAATTTCAGGCAAGTGCTATGAAGATGATAAAATAAGGTAAAATATAGAGAATGAGTGACAAGGGGACTGCCTTAGTTGGGATAATTAGGGCAGTCCTCCCTGAGCAAATGATGTTTATGATGAGACCTGAATGATTGGAGCCTGGTCGGAGGATGGTGATGAGTGAAAGAGTTTTTATCCTCACTCAAATTTTTAGACCAGTGGCCATGTCAGTAGAACTAAATTTAATGGTATGTTGTTTTACATTTAAAGTTTTGGTGTATTTTAAAATACTATGATTTGCCTAGTGATGAGGTAAATTTATATTAATTACTCAGATTGCCATCCTGAATTTCTTGTGGCTTGCTTAGGTACGAGAATAGACCTTGAAATTGTTTTAGAATGTTTAACTCAATGTAGTGGGCCACACAGGAATTGAGTCTCCTGGCTTAGTGGAGATTGCAAATGTGCACCAATGATTTCAGAAACAGATGTCCCCATGTGTTTAAGTGAAAGTATATGTGTGCTTATGGTGGTACAAACTTCTAGAAAAGGAAAATGAAAAATGAGAGAAGTGCCTAATTTCAGATAAACTCCCCGTGTTTCTGCTTTTTTGCGGAAAGTTGGAGGAAAAGAAAAGTTAAGGAGAAACTAGTTTAACAAAATCTCTGGCCCCTTTTAAGGTGGGAGTGGGTTAAAATAAGAGGTTCCTGGACTCTGGAAATTTGGTTGGCTTGGACATGTCTACATTAGGCAGAGTTTGCACAGATACTGACACTGGTGTCTTCCTTCTGGCAGATGGCTCAATCACAAAGGAGTGAGACAGAAGCGCCTAAATGCCTGGCTGGGAATCAAGAATGAGGATGCTGATGAGTAAGTTCTCTACCTTTCTATCAGAGGGGTTTGGTTCCCAATCTAAGATGTGGGGCTTCTTTATACATGCTAAGTGTTGGCTCTCATTGTCAGTCCAGGACATTGAATCAGGAACTTTGCACCTCTTTTAAATTGAATTGCTTGAAGAGTAGAGTACCCTACAGGCACTTGAGGTCAGAGACCTGCTGAGCCACTTGAAATCTGGGTGCATGAGCATTGCTCATTCAGACATTCTTTGTCAGCTGATTGGATGAGAGGTGTAAATTTCCTGTTTTCTGCACCGTAACAAATAACAAAGTTGTTAAAAAACGTCCCAAGTAATTGTAGTTTTACTTTGTCATTTTGTGGTTAAAGATTTAGAATGAGTGTTTTATTCATGAGTTTGCGTTTAGGTGTAAGTAACCTGATTGTTAGAATAATATTTTAACATTTAATTTTTAGGACCTATTTTATCAATGAGGAAGATGAAAACCTGCCCCATTATGATGAGAAAACCTGGTTTGTTGAGGATATCAATCGAGTACAAGCAGAGGACTTGCTTTATGGGAAACCTGATGGTGCATTTTTAATTCGTGAGAGTAGCAAGAAAGGATGTTATGCTTGCTCTGTGGTGTAAGTCTTCTCTGGCGGTTTAACCTTTTGAAAATTTCTGCATTGATTAATAGAAACTCAACCCCTCATAAAATTCAAATAATTCAAAAATTATTTGAAGTACAGTAATGAGGACCCATGGCTTAGACCTTTAATATTTGTATAAAGAAAACAGTTAGTTGCTTTAGGAGAAATGATATCTGAAATTATTTGGGGGATTTTAATTTCAAATGGTAAGCAGATTAGCCCTGCATGTTGCTATTGGATTTTCAGGCATTTGTGAAAAGTAATATGAGATCTTCAATTGAAAGATCGCCTAAGGAGGGGTGCCTGGTTGGCTTAGTCAGTAGAGCATGTGACCCTTGATCTCAGGGTCATCAGTTCAAGCTCCACATTGGTTGTGGAGCCTACTTTAAATAGATAAATTAATTGAAAAATTTAAAAAAAAATCATAATTTTGTAGTAGTCTCCTGCATGTCTAATTTGGGCTTCAATGTCCGTTTAAGTAAGGCTTGATTAAGAATTGTTTTTCACTTCAGAAGAAAAACTATCTAAATTTTGTACTTAAGTAGTTTTCTGTTGGGGTAGTGATTGAAAATGTTGGTATTTTCCGTAAGATGATCTTATGACTTTGTTTGGAAAAGCCTATTTTATTAGTTTCCATCCATCCACCCATCCGTTTATTTATTTACTTATTTAGATTTATTTGAGAGAGAGAGCAAGTGCGTGGCAGAGTAGGGGGAGGGACAGAGGGAGAGAATCTTCAAGCAGACTCCCTGCTGAGCACAGAGCCCGCCGTGGGGCCTGATCCCGCGCTACAACCCATGAGATCACGACCTGAGTTGAGATCCTGAGTCCGATGCTTAACTGACTGAGCCACCCAGATGCCTCTGTTAGTTTCTTTTTAATGGAAGGTGAAATTCTGGGGACAACTAACCATGTCTGTCACATTTTGCCTAAGTGTTGTGTATACTCCTTCACTGACAAAGACCATACTTAGAATGAAGGTATATTATGATTGTTATGAGAGCAAGCTTTGGTACCAAATATATTGCATTCAAATCCTGACTCTACTTACCAGATGTGTGACCTAGGGTAAATTACTTAACCTTTCTTTGTCCAGTTTCCTTACCTGAAAAATAAGGATAATAATATCTACTTGAGGGTTTTTATAAGTATTAAATTAGTTAATACATGTAATGTGCTTTGATCCCAGTGTTGGTACATAATAAGTGAATGTTATCTACCAGTATTATTATGATAATGATGCTACTGATGGACATGGCAGAAAGCAAGCAAAAATAACAAAATGATTTTGCCCTCAAAGAGGGCAAGATGGTGAGAATGGACAAAAGACATTCATATTAACAGAGTGCTCAGTGCTTTACCTGATCATCTCGTCCTTAGTTGGTCTATGGAGTCAGAGTTTGAATCCAAGTTTACCTGGTTTCAAAGCCCACGTTTTTCTGTTGTGCCATACTTTTTTCATTTCACAATTAAATATCCAAGATAAATAGAATCACTGTGAAATAGGTATCATCAGTAGGCTGTACACATGAAGAACTATTCTGGTGGAGAAGGAGGGGGTTGGGAGGTTTTGTGGAAGAGGTAGCATTTGAACTGGACTTTGAAAGGATGAATAATGGGATATCTATGGGCAGAATATGGGGGAGGACATGAAAAGTGCATTGGATTACTGTTTTGCAAAGATAGAATTATTTTAAATATTTTTTAAAGATTTATTTATTAGAGAGAGTGAGAGTGGGAGTGAGTGAGCATGCAAGCGGGGAGGAGCAGACGGAGAGGGGAAGCAGACTCCCCACTGAGCGTGGAGCCTGACTTGGGGCTTGATCCCAGGACCCCAAGATCATGACGTGAGCTGAAACCAAGAGTCAGATGCTTAACGGACTCAGCCACCCAGGTGCCCCTACAATTATTTAAAACATTTCTTTTTTCTCTTACCCGGGCTGCTTAAGTTACCTGAGTGGAAATGCCAAGATAGGGTGGTTCTTATAGAAATTGAGATCTTTTAAAAATAAAAAGAAGAAAGGCAGTAAGCCCAGTGCATTGGTACCCTCACCTAGGTCATTGGGTGGCAGCCTGTGGGTCAAGGACTTGGCTGGTGGAAGATACTGCCCAGCAGCTCAGCTAATTCCTGGGAGACCAAGGAGCAGCTTGAGTATCTTGAGGAGGTGTATTCTTTTTCTCCTTCCTTTAGGCACAGACTTGACCATTAAGTCCACAGCAATGTGGAATTCCCTTGCTTATGAAAAACATCTGCAGTCGTATATCATGTTGGCATTCACACTGAGGATGGTTGGAAGCAAAGGAGTCTGGCATCACAAAGACTCCCACTTGTTTGCCAGCCATTCTGGCTATAGGAAGCCTGCCTACAGTAATCTCCCAGTATACTTAGAACATTTGCTGAAGTAGGAATATGAATATGTTCAGTTTTTTAGGAGATTCTCATAGCAGAATTAACATGATCATGTAGGAAGTCACACATGGAACTCATTTGTTCTTCCATTTTAATTTGTTAATGACATCATCAAGAAGCCTAAGAAGAAAAATTGCTTAACTCTACAACCTTCTTATGCTAAAGACCTGCAGCCGGCAATGCCTGTATTCACTAGGTTAAGGATTCAGGTAGTGAACACTTGTGATCCTTATTTCCATTTGGGATAAGAAATTTGATTAGGGATAGAACTAGACAGATCAGAAAGGTAGAAGAAGATTTGAATGATATTATAAAACAACTAGACCTAATAGACCTATCCAGAACACTCCACCTAACAACAGCAGAATACACATTCTTCTTAAGGGCACATGAAACATTATCCAGGATAGGCCATAGGTTAGGCCACAGTCTCAATACATTTAAAAGTGTTGAAATCCCACAAAATATGCTTTCTAACCACAGTGGAAAGAAACTAGAAATCAAAAACAGGAAATTTGGGAAATCCTCAAATGTGGACAGTAAACAACACATTCCTAAATAACCAGTGGATCAAAAAAAGAAAACGAGGGAAATTAGAAAATACTTTGAGATGAGTAAAAGAAGAAACACAACTTATCAAAACAGAATTCAGCTAAAGCAGTGCTAAATGCTAAATTTATAACTGTAAACATTTATGTTAAGAAAGGGAGATCACATATTAATAAAGTAATCTTCCACCTTAAGAAACTAAAAAAGGAAGAGCAAACTAAGCCCAAGCAAAAAAAAGGGAATAATAAAGATTAGAATGGAAGTAAATGAAATAGTAGAAAACAATTGAGAAAATCCGTGAAACCAAAAGTTGGGATGGAACTGAATTACAACCTCAAGCTAAACTGCCCCCATCCCCACAGAGAAGAAACAAATTACTAAAATCAGGATGAAAGAGGGGTCATTACTTATAGTCCTTATGGAAATAAAAAAAAAAGATAATGAGGAAATACGATAAACAATCATATACCAAAAAATTAAAACCCAGATGAAATGGACAAATTCCTGGAAGCACACAAACCACTGAAACTGGCTTAAGAGGAAGCAGAAAATGTGAATAGAACTATAACAAGAAATTCGGTTATTAATAATTAAAAAAAAAGCTATCCACATAGAAAAACCCAGCCCAATTGTGTTCACTGGTGAATTCTGCCAAATATTTTAAAAAAGAATTAACAGAAGTCCTTCACAAACTCTTCCCCACAAAAAGAGAACACTTCCCAACTCATTTCATGAGGGCAGTATTACTGATACCAAAACCACACAAAGATATCACAAGATAACTATGGACCAATATCCCTTAGGAACACAGACACAAAAATCCTCAATAGAATACTAGCAAGGCAACTCCAGCAGCATATAAGGATTATATACCATGACTAAGTAGAATTCATCCCAGGAAGGCAAGGGTTTTTTCAATATAAAAAAACCCAAAAAACAACAATGAACATAATATACTGCATAATAGGATAAAGGACAAAAATCACATGATTATTTCAGTAGAATCACAAAAACCATTTGACACAATCTAGCACTCTTTCATGTTTAAAAAAAAGTCTGAACAACCTAGGAATAGGGTTCTTCCTCAACTTGATAAAGGGTAACTATGAAAAACTCAGAGCTAATATACCTAATGGTGAAAGATAGTGCTTTCCCCTAAGAAAGGAAGAAAACGAAGATGTCCACTCTCACCACTTCTAACCATCATTGTACAGAAGGTTCTAGTTAAGGTAATTGGACAAGAAAAAGAAATAAAACATCCAGTTTGGTAAGGAAGATATAAATTATTAGAGCTAATAAGTTTGGCAAGGTTGCAGGTTAAAAGATCAGGATTCAAAAATCAGTTGTATTTCTAAATACCAGGAATAAACAATCTGGAAATGAAATGAAGAAGGCATGCTACATATAATATCATCAAAAATACCAGTAGGATTAAAACAAAAAGAAATGCAAGAGCTGTATGGTGAAAACTATAAAATATCATTGAAAGAACTCAAAGGGAGACTTAAATAAGTGGAAAGACATCCTGTGTTCATGGATTAAAAGACTTAATATTGTTAAGATAGAAATAACTTCCCAAATTGAGCTACATGTTCAGTGTAATCCCTATCAAAAATCTCAGGGGGACTTTTGCAGAAATTGACAAAATGATCCTACAATTTATATGAAAGTACAAGGGATCCAGCACAGCCAAAATGATCTTGAAAGAATAAAGTTGAAGTACACCTCCTGATTTCAAAACTTAAAAAACAAAGGTGTAGTAATCAAAATTGTGAGGTGCTAACAAGGATAAACATGTAGATCAATGAATAGAATTGAGAGTCAAGAAATAAACCCTTATATTTATGGTCAGTTGGTTTTCAACAAGGGCCTGAAGACCATTCAGTGGGGAGGAAGTAATCATTTTAACACATGAAACTGGGACAACTGGAAAGCCACATGCAAAAGAATAAAGTTGGACCCCTACCTCACACCATATATAAAAATTAACTCAAAATGGATCATAGACCTAAATGTAAGAGCTAAAAGTATAAAATACTTAGAAAACATAGACATAAACCCTTGTGACTTTGGATTAGGCAGTGGTTTCTTACAAACCAAAAGCACAAACAACAAAAGAACTAGATAATTTGGATTTCACCATAATTAAAAACATTTTATATCAAAGGGCACTATCAAAGTGAAAACACAACACACAGAATGGAATATTTGCAAATCATGTATCTGTTAAGCAACTAGTGTCTAAATCATAACCCTTAACAGTAAAAAAAAAAAAAACCCAAGGGCCTCAATTTAAAAATTGGATGGACATTTAAAAAAAATGGTAAAGGATTTGGATAGACATTTTAAAAAATTCACATACAATTAACATAGTGTTATATTAGCTTCAGGTGTGCTACATAATTCAACAATTCTATACATTTTTCAAGGTTCAGCAAGATAAGTGTGCTTTTAATCCCCTTTATTTATTTCACCCATCCCCCTACCCATCTTCTCTCTGATAACCACCAGTTCTCTGTATTTAAGAGTCTGAGGTTTTTTTGGTCTTTTTTTCCCTTGTTTGTTCATTTGTTTTGTTTCTTTAGTTCCACATATGAGTAAAATCATATGGTATTTGTCTTTCTCTGACTGATTTCACTTAGCATCATACCTTCTAGGTCCATCCATGTTGTTGCAAGTGGTAAGATTCCATTCTTTTTTATGGCTGAGTAATATTCCTCTGTGTGTGTGTGTGTGTGTGAGTGTGTGTGTGTATCTCCCATATCATCTTTATTCATCTATCTTGATGGACACTTGGGTTGCTTCCATATCTTGGCTATTGTAAATAATGCTGCAGTAAACATACGGGTGCATGTATCTTTTTGAACAGTGAAGGAAATCAACAACAAAAAGGCAACCTACTGACTGAGAGAAGACTTTTGCAAATGATATATCCAATAAGGGGTTAATATCCAAAATATATAAAGAACTTAGACAACTCAACACACAAAAAACCCAAATAACCCAATTAAAAATGGGCAGGGGACCTGAACAGACATTTTTCCAAAGAAGACATACAGAGGGCCAACAGACACATGAAGAGATGCTCAACATCACTCATCATCAGGGAAATGCAAATCAAAACCACAATGAGATACCACCTCACACCTGGCAGAATGGCTAAAATCAACAACACGTGTTGGCAAGGATGTGGAGAAAAAAGAACCCTTGTGCACTGTTGGTGAGGATGCAAACTGGTGCAGCCACTATGGAAGACAGTATGGAGGTTCCTCAAAAGATTAAAAATAGAATTAATATGACTCAGTAAGTGGACTACTGGGTACTTACCCGAAGAAAATAGAAATTCCTTTAAAGAAGATCTATAAATGGTCAATAAACATATGAAAAGATGCTCCACATCGTTAGTCCTTAGGGAAGTACAAATCGAAACCACAATGAGATACCACTAGGATCATTATAATAAAAAAGATGGACAATAACAAGTGTTGACATGGATGTAAAGAAATCGGAACCCCTGTACACTGCTGGCTAGAATAGAAAGTGGTACAACCACTTTGGAAGACAGTTTGGCAGTTCCTCAAAAAGAGATACCATATGACTCAGCAGTTCCACGCCTGGCTCTCTATATATCCAAGAGAATTAAAAACGTACATCCATACAAAAAACTTGTACACAAATGTTCAGAGCAGCATTATTCAGAAATAGTCAAAAATTAGAAACAACCCAAGTGTCCATCAGTTGATGAATGGATAAACAGAATGTGGCTGTCCAGACCGAATATTACGCAGCCACAGATGAAGTACTGATATATCTACAGCCTGGATGAACTTTGAAAATGTGCTAAGGTGAAAGAAATCAGATACAGAAGGTTGTGTGATAGTGAAGATTTCCATTTATGTGAAATGCCAAATTAAGCAAATCCACAGAGACAGAAAGTTGTTAGTGTTTGTCAAGGTCCAGGGGGAGGAGAAATAGAGTGACTGCTAATGAGTACATGGTTTCTTTTTAGGGTGATGAAAATATTCTGGAATTAGATGGTGGTGATTGTTCCACAAGCTTGTGAATATTCTAAAAATCATTGATTTGTATACTTAAAAAAAAAAAGTGTTGTCTTTCCAGTGCGTTCTTGCCTCATGAGATGCAGAGCTGAGTGATTAAATTCAGCCATCCATTTTCATTCCACCAGGTCTTGGTGCGAGGTGAAAGATATCTCTGTGATAAGTCTGTAAGGGGGCGAGGGGACACACATGGACATGACATTTTACAAACTTTGGCAAAACACTTCTACACCTCCTTTGCAGAAAAATTGTTCAGACTTCTGGTCATTTGGGGGTCTCTTTATCTATCGTTCCTTGCCTTAATTCCCTGTGGTGTCTGTGTGTTGTGTCTTTGCAGTGCCGACGGGGAAGTGAAGCACTGTGTGATCTACAGCACTGCTCGGGGCTATGGCTTTGCAGAGCCCTACAACCTGTACAGCTCCCTGAAGGAGCTAGTGCTCCATTACCAGCAGACCTCCCTCGTTCAGCACAACGACTCCCTCAACGTCAGGCTTGCCTACCCTGTCCACGCACAGATGCCCTCACTCTGCAGATAAAGAGGGAGTGGGAAGAGAGGTCGCTCTCTAGCATTTTTTTCCTACAGTTTTTATTAGACTATGAGGGCATTCTTTCTACGTAGACTGCTTGTTTTGCACAAGAAGTGATTCTGTGAATGTGGAGAGGCCGAGCAGCAGCCGGCCAGGATGGGGGCGCAAGAGGCCTGAGGTCCTCTGAGACTCAGCTGTGCCGCTGCACTGACCTAGGAAGCTGGAAGCAGATGTTTTTTTGGAAAGTCTGTTTCATTGGGGCTTTTGTTTAGCCAGGCACCCTCAACAGAACACATTAGGTTTGATGGGGGTGGGGGGTTATATCTGGAAATTTCTGAAGAGTCCACGTCCTCTCTTGGTCTTTGTCTCTGGGAATGTGGCAGGGGCATGGCTCTGTGGGGAGTTCTGTTTTGATCTGGCAGCCTCTCTTCCTCCTAAAATAAAGGCTGTTTTGGTTCTGTGGTAGAATGGCATTTGGTGAAAAAGACAACCAAAGGAAAATGGGGAGGCTTGGGATTTCATTGAGAGAATCTTAGTCAAGGGGGTAAAAACACCTTCAACTGAAGGTACTTTATTAACTAACATAAGTTAAGCGTCAACATCTCAGTAGCTCCTCCCTCTAAAGAAGCATTATGTTTAGAAACCAAATTGATCTCAGCAGAACAGTGTTTGTTGCCAGACTAAGGTCTGATGGAAGAAGACAGCACTACTATCTGAATGCACACTTCTGTACCAAAACTTGAAGGTGAAAGGAGAACTAGAATTTGTTAGTTTTAGCAAACACTAAAATTGGTCAGTGTAACTCCTGCCCTGCCCTTGTTTCTCAGAGATGAGGAATAGCGTTCTTTTTGTGGGCATGGTGAACTTTGAATCATAAAATGAAGTTGGTGCTTGTGTGGTGTTTCCTTAGCCTAAAGAATGATCTGTTGTTGAAAACCTTTGTAACTTGTTTGTATGAGTAAAGAAAAGGTGCAATCCAGTGCTTTTAGACGGCTTGATATACCAAATAATGATATAGAACAACAGTCTTATATGTGCTTCCCAAATTTAAAGGCCCTGCAGAAACAGTAAACATGGTTTAATTTCCCTTCATCTCCCTGTCCTTTGTGGGGTAGGGCTTAGGGGAGCCATGGGTGGCGAAGGCTGTAGCAGGAGGGGAGCCTGACTGTTGTCAGGGACCTCGGAGGCTCTGGTGTCTAGGGTGAGGGTCATCCACATTACCTGTGTGCTTCCATGCAGTGGTTTCTAAAACTTTTGTAAGGAGAGGAAATAATGGCTTGGAGTTTATAGACTGTTAGTAAAAGCCATCTGGAAGTTTTTCTCTTTGCCATTTTTGTGAGCCTGCCATTAAGATGATGTGCACAGACGGTCCTCATGCTCCAGTGGCCCTGATTTTAGGCCAGGAATCTTCCGCTCCATGTGGTTTAAGCCTTCCAGCCGAGTGAAGCTAGGCGAGTGGAGCTGGGGGCAGTCGTGTACTCCTACCTCCTTTATGCCCCACCCCCATCAGTCAACACTCATTCGACAAATAGAGTTCAGATGCCTCTGAGCCAATGCTGGAACCATAATAGGCTCAGAGTGAGTCAGCTGTTTGAGTCCAAAGCTGTGCAGTCAGGCGTCCTGGCTGAACTAGAGAAGCAGCCAGTATCTGGGTCTTGGTACCTAAGGTTTACAGCTAGGAAAGCTGTAGTTATGGAATGAAAAACTAAATCTTGCTTTCCCTGAGCACTTATCTTGGTGACAGGGTCTAGAATGGACCATGATATAAAAATAGATTAAAAATTTTGGAAAAACCTCTGGAGTTACAATGAAGATAGGAAGGAAAGGGCCTATCTTCGGCTTTTCTTTGGTTCCATTGCAGTTTCAGGATTAGGCGAGGCAGACAGATGAACCCATCCTTCCAGTGTCATGTTCTGACTTAAGCCCTTAGCTGAAAGCCAGCTGCACATCTCTTCTCCACATTGCCAGGCTGAAGTCTTGAAGCTTTTACTGAGTAATGTCAGGCTAGTTGCTGCTGGGATGGCCTTACACCTGGTGTTGAACCTGCTTAAGCAGTTGGATGCTCAAGATTGGGTGCAAGAAATCCCTCCCTTCTGGTATTAAAATTTAGTGTGTTCTGACTCTGTGGGAGTAAGGATGCATGCCTGTGACCTTGAGCCATGTGTTGCTTCTTTTTAGGCAGACACAGGGTGCGTGGGGAGGGAGCTAGGACCATCTAATACCTAAACTTACATATAAGGACTGGCTTGTGGAGGACTGCTCTTTTTTTAATCCTATATTCCTTCACTTTTTCTTTCCTATTTTTCATTCTTGAATTTGTTGCTTTGTGGGAACTAAGACCTAGGGATCATTTGAGAAGTTGGAAAATCTCTCTTCTGACTAGTTGCCATATCATTTGCTTGATCCTGAGCCAGTGGAAATGGCATAGGGACCAATCTGCTAACCACATGGAGGGGTAGTATGCAGCTCCTATACTTCATGGTCTTGGCGGCCTTCATCGGAGCCTAGCTAGCTCTGTGTCCTGTCCCATGATTTAGGCCCTCGGACTCTCTCTCTCTCGGCATCCTAACTAACTGCAGCTTCACTGAAGCAGAGAGTAAAGAAACAAACTAAGACCAGAGGGGCTCATTGTTTTTCTGGCTAGGAAAGCCAGCCACCAGCATGGAAGCAGCTTGAAGCTGGCTGAACACAGGTCCTAGGCCCATCTTTTCCAGGTGGAGATTTCATCACAGAACAATGGTCTCTGTCTCTTCCTGATCATAGATGGTAAATCTTGGCCAGGGCTCAGGACTGCATAGGCTAACTGTGTCCTTACCACTGATTTGGCCAAGGTTGAGGACTTCCTGTTACCTCCCCTACTCCATCTCCAAGCCTTGATGGGACCTCCCACTTACTTTGGACCTCATGTGCTCTAAAGAAGCATTGATAGCCAATGTGGTGTCTTCCATAGGTCTCCTCTTCTTGCTGCAAGGAACCAGCCTCATGGGTCCTCTTGGCCAAGAATTGCATCTGGACAATTCCTGGTTACAAGGTGGTCTCTGTTGCCAGTTAAGACTCCAGAGTAGGCCTCTGTGAGGCTTCTGTGGCCTCAAAGCAGAGGGTGCAGATGGGGGCCTGGCTGGGCTCTCTGCTGTCAGCTGCTCATCCTTGCTCTCGCTCTAGCCACTTGTGACAACCTTGTTTCCTTACAAATTCCAGCATGACTTTGGTGCCCTGTTGTTACTTGTGAAAAACCTATTCTTCTGTTGTCTTTGATGTAGTTAAAAAAAAAAAAAAAAAACCCACGTAGTTTACGTAAAAATATCTGATTCACAAAGAAGCCAACTATATGTCTTGTGTTGGGACAGTTCATAATGTAGTTCCTAGACCACTTTTGCAAATTGTTCTTGTCACCAGATGTGTTCAGACATTGCTGTGCAGTTGTGGGGAGGGTGGGGGGGAAGTGAGGGGAGATACTTTTTGGTCTTTTGTTTTTTTATCTTCCCCAAGAGGGGACAGTCTGGCCAACTTGCTCCAGTAATGCAATAAAGACATTGCAATAAAGCACCTTTTTGTCCTCATGCTATGGAGGGGTGGGCTAGGGGTGGGCCGCGAGAGGGGGATTAGGATATTGAAAGCCCTGAAACTCCCAAACCTTCTCTCCCATGAGCACCAAAAGATTGGTCCTGGGGCTGAACTGGGGCCACCAGAGGTGCTCTTCCCCTGAGCAAGAGAAGCTGACCCTAACAGGCATGATGCCAGCATCTCATCCATCCAGCACAGGGACACAGTGAGACTTAGAAACTAGTCCTGAGAAAGTTAAATCTGAGAGCGGTTTCCTCCTCACCCCATTCTGAAGTATTAGAAAGCCCAGCTTACTGATTCTCATCACATCTTTCTGTCTGGAAATAAAAGTGTTTCCATAGCCTATTCTGGGGGCAGGGAAATGTTTGTTGCCCAAGGCCCTTGTCACCCTCCTGCCACAGCACTTTGTTACGGTTTCTATATGTCAGAACATAATTAACAAAATGTGACCACCTCTTTGCATAGGACATTGTAATTCTCATGTAGTCTCTCAGGCCCCACCCAGGTGTGTAGTGAATTATAAATCAGACTGGGTAGGGGATAGTCCTTTTTGCTCTAAATTAACTTGCCAATGTCCTTTCTCCCCACTCCTAGGAACTATAGAGGATTTCCCCATATCCCAAGAGTTGTTCCTACTCTTTGCATAGGATGCTCAAATTCCTGTCTCCAGCCCAGTCCTGTCTTCTGAACTCCACCTGTTGACTAGATAGCTCCACTGGGGCCTTGAGTGTCCCACAGGCACTGCAGACTTTTTGTTTACAGAGAAAACATATGCTTGGCTATGAAGTCCCTTACTTTTCTACCACCAAACCTACAAATCTGCCTATATCTACATAACTCCTCTGCCTCTCACCTGTTAAAGTAGCCGCCCTCCAACTAAAAGCCAACCTTTCCACAATACTGTATAATTTTGTATCCTGTTTTCTCCGTTCTTCTCAGGAATTTCCCATGATCAGTTGTCAATTCTTTCACTGTTGTTTTCTCTCAACCGGATCATCCATTGACATTTAAACATGGTTGAATGTGTCTCACTCCACTTCCTAACCTCTACTGAATCCTATATCCCTTTATCTCTTTGCCCCCCTTCAAAGCCAAACCTTTTTACAAAAACTGTTTAAATTTGTCTTTCTTTATTTCTCTCCTCCACCATTTTGGTACAGGTCCCACCACCAGCTGAAACTGCTCTCCTTCCTTGAGGTCTTCAGTAACCATCATCCTTGACTCCTTGCCATGAAAAACTTTCCCATGGACTCCATGATGACTCAGCATCTGGTTTTCCTCCTAGACCTCTGTTCCTTTTAATTCTCTTGGACGAGGTCTTTTTCCCTGGCAGTTTTATCCACATCCATGATTCCATCTACCATCTTTAGGCCATTTATGTCTGTGTTTCTCCTGCTCAATCCTCTATTGGGAGGTACCTCACAGCACATTGAATGCAGGGTCACCACCCAGCCCAGGTTCTCTTTCATTATTTCACATTTCAGTGGTAGAACTATATGCCTCATTTGGTTATGTAAGTCAGAAATGCAGTCATCATCCTTGAGACCTTCCTATGTTTCAGGATGACATAATACACACCGACAACCTATATCAATTTTATTTCCTAAATGTCAAAGACATTACTTCTCCCCAACATTTCTTCACTAAATACTGAACAGGCCTCCCTTCTTCCATAGTTGCCCCCCTCAAGTCCATTCTCATAACAACCAGTTATCTTTTCAAAATACAAATCTGAACCTGTGTAAAACCATTAAGTAACTTTCAATCACTCTTAGGGTAAATTACAAAATTCTTAAAGTGGTCTGGTTTCTCCCAAGTTTAGGATCTCATCCCCTACTTCACTACTCTTCCCTGGATCCGTCCCTTCAGCCAGTACCAATGTCTTGAGTTTTTCTCCTGCACATATTCTCTCTACAATTGCCATCTATTCCTATGGCCTTACCATCTATTTGCTGATGGCTGCCACATCTGTGTCCGGCTCCTACACGGTTCATCCTCAGGGTTGTCCTAGTTCAGATCACTATAACGCATCACTACATCATTTTCTCTCTGCTCTGAGTATTCCACTAGAGCCTCCTTACACTGCAGCCAGCGTTTTCCTAAAACATAAATGTGATTATACCACTTCCCTGCAGTTATCTTTCAGAAACCCCTCACTCCCCTCAGGCTAATCTGGCGGTGTTTCTCAAAGGGAGCACCACTGGCACTTGGGGCATCTGCCCTATGGATTACAGGAGGCTTAGCATCTCTGTGCCTCCTCCTTACCCCACCTCCCCACCCCCCATTTCCAACCCCCTAAAGGGGCAGTTCCTTTCTCACAGGAACTGTTGCAAGATGTGCCTACCCCACCTCCTTCACCTTTGCTCTGGTGCTTCTAACCAGATCCTGATAAACGTGGGAGGCTCCCCCAAGGCAACCAGTTACCTATGTTCCTAGCATCCAGTACAGGCTGGCTGAAGCTCTGCTGCCAGTGAACGACTGAAGGAAGAGGTGAGTTCAAGGGACTGAATGAAGGCTAAGCGGCCAGACATCTACCTGTAGATTCTGGCACCATGGGCAGGGCACGCCCTCTGGCGGCCACAGCCGTCTTCAGGCAAGGTTACAGAGGCTGCGGGGTGCAGGAGGCCCCCAGCCAGTGGCCCTGAGGCATCCCCTGCACCCCATCTCCAGGCCTCTGAATGCCTCTCTTTCAAAACCTAAACATTGGATTATGGGACGGTTAGTGCAACACCACAGTTTGAAAAGTCCTGCATCACCATGGAGGTACTCCACCACAGCCCTACTCCTGCCCCTGTGAGGCCGTCTCCTGACTCCTCCAACACAACGGTCCCATAGATGTCCTCCCCGCTCCCACACCATCCACTCACCCATCTGCCAATGCTGAGGTGTCTGCCTCAGCGATGTCCACCTCCAGTGGTAAGGCCTGCCTGACAAAAGCCCAGGAAGGGTTCAATGGCTACAAAACATTAAGGCATTAAGGCAATTCTGTATTTTCATCTTAAGTGGGCCTTCAACATTTTAACAAGTAACTTCTCCATCCATTTCAAAACTCTTCCCTCTCTTGGATTTTAGGACTCTTTTCTAGATGCTTCTAAGTCTTCTTTCTTTGACTTAAATGCTAGTGTTCCTCAGTGTACCACTATTGATACATTGATGGCTCTCAAATTTCTATCTTCAGTCTAGATTTTCCTATTGAGTTCCAGGCCCATATATCCAGTTACCTTCTGGATATCCATCAAGTACCTCAAATATATTCCAAGTTTAACTCTTCACCTCCTTCCATCTTTTTTACTCATTTTCTGGCTATGAAGCACTCCAACTAAGAAGATACAGGTGGTTTCTGGAGTCAAGAGAGACCTAGGTTCTAATGGCTCGTTCTGCCCAAGCTATGTTACTATCTGAAAACCTGAGTTTCCCTCCTCTATAAAGCAGAGATATTAGTTGCTACGTGGTCTTCCATGGTTCCCCATCACCGACACAAAGTCTAAACTGGAAGTATCATTAAATATGGCCCTGGCCTAACTCACTAGACCCATTTCCACTTTGGTTTCAGTTCCTTGACTATACCAGGTATGTGGTAAGTGCTGTACTCTTTGCCTGGATACTCGGACTAATCCCCACTCTTCTAACCCAGCAAACTACTACCTACCATCTGTTCTTCAGGTTTGAGCTCAGATGTCATAGTCTCTGGGAAGCCAAGTTGGGCTAGGCACCCCCTCCCCTGACAGTGGAAAGTGTTATTCACCACTATATTCCCAGCGGCAACATAGACCTTGAGTTACATTTGTGTTGACTGAAAGAAAGAAGCAAAAGACAAAGATGGTTTCCAAGAGCATGTATTACACAGGTCTGAGTGCAAGAAATAGCAAACAGTGGCTATGTTTGCTTTAAAAGCTCATCAGGTACCAATGCCAAGTCCTGATGCTTTTGAGGGCCCCCTGACTCTCGGCCCCTCCGAAGTAGGCTGGGCCCAGGCTCCTGGGTGAGGGGGCAGCTTCTGCATGGAACGTCCTGCCTCCTGTCACCTGAGGCATCAGGCACTTGGGTGATGCCCAGGGCTGGCTCCTCTTTCTCTCTCTGTGCACCTGCGGGCTCCCACAGCCAGCTCTGGTGGGGAAACTCATGAGGTGGATGGACCAGCCCAGGAGCACCAGGTGGCCAGGACTTCCCCTCCTGTCTGGGAGACTGGTTCTCAGGGTGGGCTGGAGTTATGGTTTCCAAATCCTGGGAGCTGGCCATCCCACCTTCCATTGCTGCCTTTCTGCTTGGGGATGCTCTGTCTGCACCCTCGATAAGAAATTTCCAAGACCATGGGCCTGGCTCTCCAGAGGTGGAGGAGGCAGCAGAGCGACGGGCAGGGATAAGTCCTGAAGAGCTGGGACAAAGTGCCGTTAGTGCCTGGGTGTGGAAGGGCTGGGCCTTCCAGCAGCCTTCAGGAGGGATGGGGTCTGTGCGGCCAGCCTTACGTAGGCTGGGGGCCGCTGATGAGCTGGCAGGCTCCTCAAAGGCTTGTGGGATCCCATGCTTCCTCTGGGGGACACTAGGGCCTTCCACTCTGGGAGACTTCAGTGTAACTTCTGTCAGTAGGCCTGGGACCACTGGGCCCTGACTCCTGGGGCCCCTGGACAAGAAGGCATCCTCTTCCTCACCCGCTCCTGCTCCTGTGTGGGGGGGCACCCGGCCCAGTGCCGGGCGCGGTGCCAAGCT